ACATCGCCCGCTCGCACCCACACACACATATATATATATATAAATACAAGACTTAAAAGATTAGGAGTACTTTAAATTATTCCAAACTTAACACTAAAAAGTTAAAATCATTGTTACATATTCCTATTCTTTGCTTCAACAGACAAATACGTTACAAAAATTAAAAGTACAAATTAGAAAAAAGAAAGGTGAAAAATGCATCCAAATTGATTTCCCAATAAGAAAGGGATACTGACCTGAACTTTAAGGAGTATTTTTAAGAGAACACCTAAGAACTTTCAAACGAACTTACTGTGCATAATATGTTTGAGCTCTGAAATTTAGATAGCTTTATGTAGTTATACAAATAAATGCTGCACATAGAATCTTAACATGTTTTATTTAAGATTTATTAGTTTTTTATTTGAATTTGAATTCTTTTATTTCTAATACTAATTTGAAAAATGCTCTTATATATATACGTGGTTCATTCTCCTTGTTATGTACAGTAATAATACTTACAAGCCGCTAAAGCAAGCCCCATGCATGTGTTAAACCATAGAATAAAAATTACACATCATGCATGGCAAAGATATTTAGGAGCTTGGATGAAAAGAAGTCACATTAACTTCAAGTAGTAGATCTCTATTTTGTCAATCAGAAAAGAAAAAAAGAAAACACTACATCAGCAGAAAGATTCTCTAATCTACTAATTACATAAGCACATATAGGATAGCAATATATATTACAAATGCTTTGGTGAGCTTTCTAATTCCTTCCCTTGTCTGAGTAATAATACTTACAAACTGCTTAAGCACCCCATGCAAATGTTACACGACAGAATAAAAGTTATACATCATGGCAAATAAATTTAGGAGCTTGGATGAAAAGAATGATCCCAAACTGCATGCTTTTTTCCATGTGTTGAATAAAGAAAGAGAATATCTAACTAACAAAATTAAGTCAAATGTTTAAGTGAATAGTAAGTAGAGTTAAATTAACTTGAAGTATTAGATTTTTATCTTGTCAATTAAGAAAAAAAGGATAACACACACATAACTCTGCCTACAATAGGAAATCTCATTGTGTATGAAGGTGTGAAGATAGCAGCACTTCATTTTTCGAAACCTGAAATAGGAAAGAATGGGAAGTTACAAAATTTATGATTGCTAATAATAAAATCCATCAAACTAACGACACACAACTTTAAGGATAGCATTAGATAGAAAAGTTACAACATATATTGAAATTGTATAAAGGAGCCCTTTTCTAGTTCAACGTTAGTCACATCTTAGAAGAGGGAAAAGCGGGGCCAAACCAAAGTAGTTTTCCACTTCCTCGTTAGTTAAATCTTTTGTAATTGAGCTGTGGGGAAACCTGTTTGAAAATTTTTTATCTAAAGCAATAAGTGAGACTTGAGAGCAAAATGAGAATGATAAGTCAGGAGTAAAAATTTATGATACATTACAACTTTGGATTGGGGTTTTGGTTATGACCACTTGAGTAATTATTAAGGCCACAT